CCCCCCCCCCAGTCTATAATTGGATTCTATTTTCAGGCTGCTATAAGTGTCCCTGTCTCCTGTGTGTGTCTCACGCCTGGCTCTCTCTCTCTCACTTTCGCTCTCCGTGTATCAGCTCTTAACTCCATTTCCCTCCAGTTCCTCCTCTTCCCGGTCCACGTCTCCTCCTTTGCTCACATCACCTACTCTTCCTGGTCCACATCTCCTCCCTTGCTCCCATCACTGTCGCCGCAAGCCTTCTCACCGAGAGGAATACCCAGCCTCTGGCACAGTGTTGACTGGACTCTTGGGAAACATAACAGGGGCACAGGAAGCTCAACTCAGAGGGCGCAGGACGTGGCAGGCAGCGAGGTGGCAGAGTAGATCATGACCTGCTGACTGGAGAACCTGGAAAAGTTGCATAAGTCCGCACTAGCTGTCCTCATTTTGAGTCCTCGCTGGGAAGTAGCTCAGCATATTTGAAACACAAGTAAACAGCCAAACAAGCTCCAAGCAGACGTTTAGAACTGAACCACTAAACTGGAGCTTGAACTAATTAGGGCGAGCGTTTGAAGGAGAGGCAGAAAGTGAGGTGAGGAACGTCTGCTCAGAGAAGGATAAAGTACAGAGGGAGTAAGGAAAAAGAGGGCGTGGATCCGGAGGACTGGGTAGAGGCGGGGTAGAAACTGGTTGGCTGGTCCATGTTCTCTAGAGAACAATAGAGTATTTAAAAAGGAGGAAGAGGAGGCATGCACACACACACGCGCACACACACACACGGCAGCGGGAGGAATGAGGAATAAGTAGAGAGCAAAGAGCACGAGCGCAGAAGACATGGGCATCTCGCCGCAGACACAGGGCTCCGCGCACAGACGGCCGAGCGCCAGCCGCGGGCCGCAGCACGCAACTCGGGCTCCGCAGACGCCACGGTCCATGCAGCCGAGGACCCCGCAGTCACGGACAACGCAGCCGAGGGCGACGCCGCCACCACGTGCCGCGCAGACGCACTCCAGTCACACGCATGCTGCGCAGACACGCTCCAGTCACACGCACGCTGCGCAGACGCGCTCGGCCCACGGCCCGCACCGGCACAGCACGCAGTCCATGCAGACAGGCTTGCGGCGGCTGTCCAACACTCATGCGCATTCTGCGCAGACACAGCCGATGCAGAGCTGCTCGCGGAGGCTGTCCAACACCCATGCTGTTCAGCACGCCGCGCAGACTGGCTGTAACTTCTACTGCTACTTGTGCTACGGCTGCTACTGCTGCTGCCTCACGCTTCTCTCTGTCTCTCTCCTCCTCCTCCTCTCCCCCGCTCCACCCTCTCCTCCATCACTGGGCCTCCCTCCATCATCCTCCCCTTCCATTGCTGCGTCTTCCTCCAACTCTCCGTCTTCCTCACGCTCCATCCCTGCGTCTTCCTCTCCTTCCGTCCCTGCATCCTCTTCTCCCTCTGTCTCTCGCTCCACACCTCCATCGCCATCTTCCCTTATCCCTCCGTCTTCCTCGCCTCCTGTGCTTCCTCCTCCCTCCATCTCTCCTGACCTCCCTCCTGCATTCCACCCTTTCCCTTTCTTCAATCTGGTCTGCCCCTCCGCCCCACCTTCCCTGCATTTATCTCTCCCGCTCCCTCCTTCCTCACCCTCACACCCCCTCCTCTGCATGCCTTGCTCCGACTCCCCCTCCCACACACCTGTTCATCCTTCCTCCTCATGCACCAACCTCCTGTGCCACCCCACCATCCCTGGCCCCGCCCCCCGCCGCTTCCCCTTGGCTCCCCCCTCCCTCCTCCTGCTCCCCCGGCCCTCTCCCTGTCACCGACGGTCTGCCCGCCGCTCGCTCCCCTTCCTGCTCCTCTGCCCGCCCAGCTTAGGGGACCCCTCCCTGTCATCGGCCTCCACCCTGGAGCACATCCCGTCGTCAGCGGCGGCACGGCCACGCACGCTGGTGCGCCAGCAGAGCCTCCAGCAGCCGCTCACGCACCCACCCCCGCCGAGCCTCAATGACCTGCCCCCCACCTCGCAAAGCCTGGGCCAGCTACACACAGGTCAGCCTGGCGGAGGCCTGCGGGGAGGACCCCGGGGCGTGCGGGGCAGCCCGGCCGGCGGGGGCTCTTCGCGGTATAGGGGGACTGGAGGGGGGCGCTCACGATCCAACCCGGGCAGCTGGGACCACATGATGGGACAGATCCGGAACAGGGGCCTGGATGTGAAGTCTTTCCTGTAAGTCTCTGCCTTTCTTGGGCTCAGCTGTCCGTTTCCAGTCCTGTCCTCCCACCTGACTGTGCTGTCATGGATTCTTTGTGCTGTACACCACACCGTCCCGTTTATTAACCCAAACCAGCTGTACTTTCGTCCCACCCTCTGTCCCACCATCAGCCGGTTGTGCCCGCTATGCCTTTTGTTTTCTGTTCAGCGTCTCGCTGGCCGTCCCCCATCATATTTCGCTTCCCCCGGCATAACTGACGCACTGGCCATTTGTCTGCACGCAGCACTCGCGAACAAACAATTGGCTCAGATCAGCAGCTCTGTTACGCCGCTACTGGCCAAAACAATTGAACCAGGGGAAGTGAAGTCGCGAGGAGCCGGCCGCCTGAGTGCTCTGTGTGAGCGGCTGGGTAGAGATGCTGCAGAAAACCAGGCTGGACAAAAACACAGCAGATTCTTGGCGATCACACCAAGAATTACTTGCAAATGATAGCAGATAAATTAGATACAAATGAAGAAAACATTGAGTTGTTCTTCATTACGCAGCCTAGCCACATAGTTCAGATTTGCAAAACAGCAGAATAACTTAGTAAGCATTTTGGTAGCTTTGTGAATGGGGGAAGAAGTGTGTTGCTTAAGAGTGCCGTTATCTGTAATGCACAGCGATTATAATTATAACCTGTCATTATGGCAAAACCGCTTATAGCTCACACGGATAACCCCCATTAAGACGACTTTTTAATAGTATTTCCAGCAGAAGCTTGTTTTCAAAGTGACTTAAACACCTGGATATACAGTTGGATATATTTTATCCAAGCAGTTCCCCCACCAGGGCACAACCTTTCCTGGGATGTAGACCTGAACCTTGCATATTTAAGGCCACATCCAACACTGCTCACCCCTGCTTTTGTTTTCTTGCCTTTCGCTGAGTCGCTACTGGCACACGACCTGATGCTGCATTTGAGGGAGCGTCCCTGTCATTTGTTGTCTTTTACTGTCTTTTACTTATATTCTTATAAATTGCTTCCCAGTCATGCCAGACCCAAACAAGATGGTTTAGTCTGCATACCTTTGCATCCTCTCTTATATGTTCTATTTTATGTGTTATAGTAGGATATGGGGAATCTCTTTATTCCACTTGCCTGATTCTTTTTGTCACTTGAATGAAAACTGCTCCTCTATCCTTCATCTCCTTGTTCTTTTTGTTTGTCCTGTAAGTCATTTCTGTGTGCTTTGGAGTGCTTACGCTTTATCACCTCTGTTGTTTCTTGTATTTTGGTCCCTTTGTCAAAAAAAATTGTGTGTATCTACTGAGATCTGCTGGTCAGTGATCGCTGACTCCACTGATGTCATTCATCATTAAAACTGTGATGCTTCCAGATTTCTTCAGCGTCACATCAAAAGCACTCTAAACAACCTTCACCAACAATAAAATAAGCAATTATCCTTAAGTGTGAAACAAGATTTACCACTTTCTGCATACATCTGCTTCTATGGCAGAAGGCCAATCCTTTACGAGAACATGGCCATTTTCCTGGAAGCTGCTGTAGTGTAGATTGAATTTCTTTATTCTTTGTCTATTTGTTGCTGAAATGTCCATCAAACATCATATCACGTATGTTGGAGAACATATGAAGATTGTAGAAGAGTGCATGCGTATGTGCAAGCCACATATGTTAGATTAAATAAGTATGTATCTGAGCGAAAAATAATCAGCAAGGATTTATTATTTGTTGATCCAAAGCACTTTCATTTGCATAGTGATCTGGCACATTACAGCTGACAATCAGCAAACGAAATACCACATGGTGTCTTTGGGGCGGGGTCACGCTGTCAGCGTGGCACCAATCAGACAGCTGATCCCTCGTGCCAGGAAGCCCAGTGG